GCATACTCCAACACGTCTGGGACGCAGGCCCAGACAACACGGCAGGTGCAACCTTTGGGTCATTGATTAATCCGGAGCCCAGTGGAAGAAGATGCAAGAGAAGTTCTTGATCTCTGGAAGAAAAGGAGTAAAAAGGGAAGGCCCCCAAAAGAAAACAATCCCCCCAAATCCAGTAACCTAGGCATCATCTCCAAACCAAACAAAATCCCAAACACTCTGTAATTAACGGGCCCTCTCTTCTCTATTTCTTCAACAGTCTCAGGTCACAAATTAGGTGAGTCTTCCATCAAATAACTTAAAAAAGGAGGAGGGATTGGAATCAGTGTTGCCTGGCTCGGGCCAGTTAGCAGCCAGTTTTTCTAGAATCTCAGTCGCTGTTCCAAAATGGAGCTGGAAAAGTCACGTGGATGTTGGATGTCTTCACACGGAGGAGGCAGGAAAGGGTGGGTGGGCATGACCCTAGGATTGGGGAAGTGACGATGGGGTAGGGGAGAGCCTGGGCCACCAAAACAGGAGTGGAGGCCTGAGGACAGCACAGGAGAGACGAACGCCGTGGCCCCAGGGTCCTGTGTGACTTGGGGTGCGGCCAGGTCTCGTATTGCACAGAAAAGAAGGAGCTGAGCCTCTGCGGGCACCCAGCGGCTCAGTGGTCCCCGCACATGGGCAGGTTCACGAAGGTGAACACGTTGAACTCAGTCATGATGGAGAAGCACAGGAACACGCCATACAGGAGGAGGCACCCACAGCCCAGCTTCTTGTCCAGCTGCCACTTGTTCAGGTGGACGCCGAACACCTGCAGGGCACAGAACAGGTTCAGAGGGCACCAGGAGGAGGCAGCAGCCTCTGGGGGGCTGGTAGGGGAACCCAGGGGACCCAGGGAAGGGCTGCTGTCTGTGGGCCTCGGGCAAGGTTCTGATCCTCTTTGAGCCTGCAAAATCCACCTCTCGTCTTGGACTGTGGGAGGTGAAAACATCAATATCAGGAAGAAAGGAAGCCAGAAGCTGCTGGTTGTAGAAAAATAACTAAAACAAATGGCAGGACTCACAAGCACATCCCAGCAGCCAATCCTCTTCCATGGAGCTCCAACACCACACCCCTGTGGGCCCTTCATCTGTTCTGGGCCTTCCCCATCTTGCTCTAAGCAGACCCCTGCTCCCCTGGGCACACTGATCCCTCAGTCCTCAGGCGGCGGCGGCTGCATCTCTTCCCATGGCTGTTCTGGAGGTGAGGAAGTTGCTCCCTCCCCACAGCTCCTCACGGCTGCTTCCAGACCATTTTCCTTCTCTCCTCCCTAAAAACACTGAGCTTGGAATCTTGGTTCTTCCTACAGTTCCTCTTGGTTCCTCCTGTTGCAGCCAACAATGTAACCCCGGCCACTGCCCATCCTTGAAGCTTTCTGCCCCAGCTCTTGCCAATCTCCTCTGTACTCCTGCTGACTTTCTCTGTGATTTCAATGCCCCCGGAGGGGAGAGGGTCTTTCCAGCACCCTGCCCCATCAAGTCCTCATCCTTCATCTGGCCTCAGCCACTCACACCCACCAGCCCATGTGCTACCCAAATATAAATGAAATAAAAGTAAAACACAGCTCCACATTTCAAGTGCTACAGCCAACCGTAGCCGGTGGTACCGTCCAGCCCAGGTGCAGGCCATTTCACTGCAGAAAGGTCTGCTGGGTGGCACTGGGCCCTAGATGTTGCTATTGGCACTGACAGAAGCATCTGTGTTATCTTAGCGTCACACATCCCACTTTCTGACTCCAATCTCTTCCTTTCTAGTTTACTCCTCCCGATTCCCCAGCTCCCACAACTCTGCAAATGCCCGTAGTGCACACCTCATTGATACCATCACCAATTCTCTACACTTCACCCACTTTGCCCCTTTTCTTCTCTCCTTCTTCTGCTTCAATTCCACCCACACTCACTAGAGTCACTCCGGGGCATCCACCCTGATTCCCTGGCCTCTCTCTTGCTCGGTTGTCCTTGCTTGGCTAAGCCATAGCCTCCAGTTCAAGCCAGGTTCCAATCTGGTTCATGCCGCATCCGTGCAGCTGACCATCAGGGCTGGAGGAAGTCGGCCAGCCATGCTGATGGGTCTTATTTTAAAAATCGAGACCACTGACATTAAGTGGGTCATTCACGCTTTTCAGCAGGCATCTCATCCTTCCCTAGTCCCTTGTCTCTCCCTTCCCCAGATGGCTACTTCACACCTCTCCCCTCTCTTCCAATCTCCAACACTCGCTTCCCCGTCCTCACTTATCCCCATGGCACAGAGCTCCCAACCCCACCTCCCTGCCTTCTCTCCTGGCAGTGAGCTCAACTCCACCCTGCATGCCCCAGATCCCATCTCCCACCCTGCTTAAGGACCTGGTTCCAGCAACTCCCTCTCTTGCCAGCCACATGCCCCAGCTCCATCGCTGGGTTATTCTAAATGGCATACAAAGATTCTGTTACCTCACTCATCTTAAAATAACACTTTTTTCTGAATTTCCATTTTTCTCCTTTCTTTACAGTCAGATAACATGAAAGAGTTGTGAATGTCTGCTCACAGTCTCCAATCTCACTCCTTCCATTCTTTATTAACTTATTCCACTCAACTGCACAGCACTACCCTCTCATTAGCACCAGCGGTTTTGCATTGCTAACTGCAATGACCAGTGCTCAGGGCTCCTCTCCCTGACTCAGCCCATAGCTCCCTCCACCTGGAAAACCCTCCAGTAGGTGGCTTCCAGGACCCCGCACTCTCCTGGTTTTATTCCTGCATCTCCAAACTGTTCCTTCTCTGTTTCTTTTGGTGTTTCTTCCTTATCGACCTGACCTGCGAGTGTCAGACTGCCTCAACACTGAGATCTTGGGCCTCTTCTCTCTTTTGTGTGCACTCACTCCCTTGGTGATCTCTCCCAACTGTAGGGCTTTAAATACCATCTACACTATGGTGTCTCCAGACTGAACATCTCTCGTGAACTTAGGCTTACATTTCCAATGGCTTTCTTGACCTCTTCCCCTGGATGTCAAACAGGCATTGCAAACTTAAGATGTTTAAAATTGCTTTTCCTCCCCCAAACTTGCCTCTCTTCAGCATTTTGGCAACCTCATTTTGACAGCCCAGTTAGTGGTTAGCCAGGTCTCCTGTAGATGGTATAACTATAGCATAGCCTAAAAAGTCACACGGTAGCTATGAGTGTGCACCCTGGTGTCAGCTGGCTTGTTCCTCCATTCACTTGGTGTCAATAAAAATGAGTCAATTAGTTTCTCTAGGCCTCAGTCGCTCATCTGTATAATAGGCTGACATTAGTGACACCTCATGGGGGGCATGATGAGCTCCAAATGGGAAAATATGTATACAAACCATTAAGTATATGGTGTTGGCTACTACAACTGTCACCACTCCACGTCATAGAAGAACTGCAGGACCTCCTAAACCATAAGAGCACGAATGATGTCGATTTTCACTTTTGCATAAGGCAGTATTTGCTTTGGTGAAATCTTGACATTCAATTCACACCCTGATCCTATAAACTACTTATCTTGCTTCCTGCCTGTCCTTCTGAATTCCCATTCTCTGGCATATTTATGCTAACAACATGCCAGGTGTAACTCAATGACTACTTCCTTGAAAAATTAAGAAAAAAACATATTGTGTCTCAATGCTTATTAATGCCAACAGCATATTTGTATGTTAATGGATGCTTCATGTGGATGAGTCTATGCGTTGGTGTGAACTTGTTCCAAACACATCAGTTGAATTGGGAATATTAAAGTACACAAGTGGGCGTAATGGCTGAGACAGCAGTGGAATGGCCTCAAAATGTACTGTCAATAAAATATATTTTTAGTTTCCAAGTATTAGTCAAATTCATGGATTCATGTGGAAACCTGGAACAATCAATGAATTGGAATCTACCTTTCCAAGACTAGAATTGCAGACAAAGTGGGATCTTCTCTTTGCATTTGGGAAAGCAGTATGTGTTCTACTTAAGATAGGGTCATGCCTTTGAGAGGAAGGCCGGCTTCTTTCAGAAAGGGAGAAGGTGTTCTAGTGGGTTGCTAGGACTCACTTCTAGAAGAAAGAGCCAGGAGATGGGACACGGTGGTTGCTTGTCTTCAGTCACCAGGAGGCCAAGCTCATCTGGTCTCCAGAGAACCCAAGGGGAGGAAAGAACAGGCAAACACAAGAGAGAGCTGCCAACTTACCGTGACAAAAACAGAGGCCAGGAGCAAGCCCACAGAGTAGATCAGCCCCCTGCTATTCAGCCGGATCTGTAAGAGAGGGTTAGAGTTAGGCTTCTGACAAGCTAGGCTTCCAAAGCAGAGTTAGGCTTTGGAAAGGGCATCTGCCCACACAACTCTGAGTAGCAGTGATTCCACGTCTCTCCTCTAGAATGAAAAACCAACAGACAGCTTCAGCAGCCAGCTCCGCAGCTTACACTTGAGACGTGTGCTCTTCTGGAAACCCAAGGCTTGTCTTTGTCTTGTCCACTCTCAGTCCCATCCTGGCCTTACCCTCAACAGCAGGGTCCTGGCTGGAGTGCCCCACGGCCACCTGAACTCTCCATCCGGGACTGTGAGATTCTTGTGGCCCACAACATATCCCTGTCCAAACGTTCCTTTACCTCTGGGGAACTTTTGCTGTCTCAAACCCATACTGCTTTTAGGATGAATTTCACGACATGGGCAATGGAAAAATATGAATAAACTTTTCATCTCTTTTGCACCAAAATGTCTCTGTCCTTACCCTAACTTGATGGGAAGAAGTGGAGGAGGGTTGCTGTTGTGGGCAAACAAAACAGAAGAAAAAGTTAAAATTCCATTTCTGATGTTAGTAAAGGGATTCTGAGAGGTTTGTTTTTCACACAGTGGGGAAAACAGCCAATGAAGGGAAAGAGAGAAACGTATTTGGAGTTCCTTCTTTTTTTTGGAGACACAGTTTCACTTTGTTACCCAAGCTGGGGCGCAGAGGTGTGATCTTGGTTCACTACAGCCTCAACCTCCCAGCCACAAGTGATCCTCCCACCTCAGCCTCCTGAGGACTACAGGCACACACCATCGCACCTGGCTAATTTTTGATTTTTTGGTGGAGGCTAGGTCTCACTGTGTTGCCCAGGCTGGTCTTGAACTCCTGGAAGCAAGGGATCCTCCCACCTTGGCCTCTCAAAGTGCCCATTACAAGCATCCCAAAGTGCTCTCAAAGTTTCCAGCCTTGGAGTTTCTATAGAATAGCACTGACCAGCAGAACTTTCTGTGGTGATGGAAAGGTTCTATATCTGTGCTCTCCAACATGGGAGCCGTTAAGTACATGTGGCTGTTGGGCATTTGAAATGTGGCTCATGCAACTGAAAAAAAAAAAGCAGTTTTAATCTCGTCCTCAACCAAATTTACATTTAAAGAGCCACATGCGACTGTGGCTACAATATCAAGCAGAGCAGGTAGAGAGTACTGGAGTGCTGACTTGGCCGACAAAGGTCCAATAGTTTCTTTCATGATGTAGAGAAGACACTGCATCTGCCTTTGACCAAAGTCACGAGGCCGGCTGCCCCAAAAGAGAAGAGATTCCTTAGAGCAGTGGTTTTCAGGGGGTGCTTTTGGGGCCAGCAGCAGCAGCAGCAGCAGCAGCATGCGGGAACTTACTAGAAATGCAGGATCTCAGGCCCCACCCAGAACTCCTGAATCAGAAACGCTGGGGCAGGGCCCATGAATCTGTGTTTTAACTCCAGGTGATTCTGATGCACAGGAAAGTTTAAGAACCACTGATTTAGAGAAAGTATAAAGCTCAGATCCACTTCTTCTGGTCTCCAAGGGTTCTGGGGAAGGGATCTTGATATTCATCTTTCACATGCTCTCTTGGAAATGCTTGTGTGCATTCAGGTTTGAGGACGACAGGCCCCAATCAATGTACACTATCCTGCAGGGAGTGAAAAGCTTCTCTGTGTTCATGGGAAGGGAAAGTGAGGCTGGCTGATTTCTGCATTGTTTTCGTTAAACAACTAAGTGGTGATTATCGAGTAAGAGTGGTTCTGGGCCCTTCTGACACGGTTTAAGGTACCTCGTGCCATGACAGCAACCAGTTCAGTACTGGTGTGTGCATACCGGAAGGTGTCTCCATAAGTGGGTGTGTCAGGTTTATTTTCTGACAGGACAGAAAATATGGACACCATACGCCCTAAACAGCCAACCCTTTCTGTGAAGATGTGACTTAGGGATGTCCTGTCATGGAGGGATTGAGCTGGACTCTTTCTCCAGTGATCTGCAATCCCTGCGAGTCAACCATTTGCTGGCCCCCAGCTGGAACATGCTTCCCCGCCACCAAATGCCTTCCCGAGAATAAGGAAAGGCTCAAGTCATGGCTCTATGACACCAGAGCAATGGCTTAACCTGGTTAATTCAGTGTGGAAAAATGGCAGATTGGCCCCATCGCAGTCCAGCTGGTGGCTTAACTTCATGCACACACTCAACCTGACTGTGGGTAGACTGTTCTACTTTCATCAGCTGGGTTGGTGTAAAAAGGCCAACACACAGGACTGCGTCACAAATGTGTTGTATTGAAGGAGATTTTCTTCCTCCGAGTATTCTGTCCACACTGACAATGATAATCCCCTGTGTTCTGGTCACTGTTGAAGGGGAGAGGTGGGCTCCTCACAGCAAGATGGCAACCCCTAGGAGAGAGGAAGAGGCTCTTGGAGCTATCCTCAGTCACCCTTGGGTAGAGGTGAAACTGTAGATAAACACTCAGGAATCCTTTTGAGCTCTTAACTTTCAGCACCGCACACACAGATGCCTTCTGTGAGGGACAATGCATTTCCAGCACGGCTTGCCCTCTGAGCTCCAGGGTCAAATCCTTGTCAGCAACAAGAACTTAGTAAAGTGATTTCACGCCCTTAAGAAACCAAGAGAGCGAAGCTCCTAGCAGGAAAATTCTCTTTGGTCAAACATTTTCAAAAGGAATCCTGTTAAACCAAAGTTTTTCAACTTTACTCTTCCTGTGTTCACATGAAATCTCGAACAGCGTGGCTGAAATTCTAAATTTGGCTCCAGAGGCCAAAGGCAACTCACTATTTTGTGGAGTTTCTATGTGTTTTTAACTTCTCACCTTTTTCTCTATAGCCTTCCTTTGGTCATGAACTGCTACACACACCCAGGAGTGTATTTTTGTGTTTTCATTGTGAGAGACCTGGGCTCTCAAAGCCTATATTTACTCCTTGCTGTCTGACCCTTGTACTTCCACAAGGATGTGACAGGCAGGAATGAGGGCTCCTTCAGCTGCCTTCTGGCCCAGCTCGAACATCTCCCGGCTGCTGCAGCTATAGATGGTTTGGGGCTGGAGTCATGGCCTCTTTTTGTTTTTTTTAGAGACTGGGTCTCATTGTGTTGTCCAGGCTGGAGTGCAGAGGTGAAATCACAGCTCACTATAGCTTTGAACTGCGCCCAAGTGATCCTCCCGCCTCAGCCTCCCAAGTAGCTGGGACTATAGGCACACACCACTACGCCCAGTTCATTTGTTGTTGTTGTTGTTGTTGTTGTTGTTTGTAAAGATAGGATCTTGCTATGTTGCTCAGGCTGGTCTCAAACTCCTGGCCTCAAGCAATCCTCCAGCATTGGCCTCCCAAAGTGCTGGGATTACAAGCATGAGCCACTGCATCCGGCTCCAGCCTGTCTTTGTAAACACAATTTTATTGGAACTCAGTTCATTCATTTATGTGTCATCAATGGCTATTTCCACATGACAGCAGCTGAGCTGAGTGGTTTTGATGGAGACAGTATGATCCACAGGGCTTAAAATATTTCCTCTCTGGCCCCTTATAGAAAATGTTTGCAACCCTCTGATTTAAGGCATGGACTCCGGAGCTAACTTCCTGGGTTTTGAATCTCTGCTAGGTCACTCGCTTGCTATATCATCGTGGACGGGTAACTGAACTTCCCTAAGCCCCAGTTTTTCAAAGTGTAAAATGGGGATAATACAGTTCCTGCTTTGTCGGTGCTTATGAGGTTGAACTGAATTAATCCATGTTAAAACGGTTGAAGAGGGCCTGGGGTGTAACACATTCTCAGTAACTGGGGGCTGGGTCCACTTCCTTGCACCCGAGGCTGCTCCTTTTCTAAACCTATCCCTGAACAATAGCTTACTAGATTGCAGACACTGCAAGGGTAGGAACCACGTCTGACTTTACCCTCCACCTGGCACAGGGCTGGGCACAGACCACGTGCTGAAAACATAATTGATGAATGAATAATACATGTCCATGAGATCTCATTTTGAATATGCATTATAAGGAGGCCAGTGTTCTGTGGGGCAGCGGGGACTGGTCAGAGTGAGGTTGGAAGCAGAGAGACCCCAGATGCCATTCCCTGGATAATGTTCCAGAAGCAATGTGGTCTCTGCCCAATGTTCTCTCTCTCCCTTCCCCACTTTACTTAATTTATTTTGAGTCTATGTAGTGTTTTTAAACCCAGCATGCTGCTATGAAAGTTTTCAAGCATTCAGGAAAGTTGCAAGAATTATACCATCTTTTTTTTTTTTTTTTTTTTAAAGCAGGGCATGTCCACATGTGCTTGTGGGGACTTCAAAGTAAACTGCGGAGACCAGGCCATTTCACCCCTGAGCACTCCTGCCTGCATCTCATTAAGTAGAGTTCATTCACAGTTCATGGGTCTTTTATTCTTAGATGCCATTTTTATATAGTAAAATTCCCACAACAAAATTGTACCATTCAACAGGTTCTGAGAAACGCATACACCCATGCAACCCAAACTCTACCATGACACAGAACACTTCCGTCATTCCAGAAAGTTCTCGGGTGCCCTCCTGCAAACCTCGCCCGAGGCAGGCACTGCCCTGTTTCTCCACCACAGGGCAGTTCAGCCTGTCCTAGAGCTTCATAGCAACGGAATCCTGCAGCGTGGACTCTTTTATGTCCGCATCATTTTAAAAGACTCTTTCAATGTTTTCATTGCATCAACAGCTCATTTATTTTTACAGCAGTGTAAATATGCCATGGTGTGTTTAATTATGCTCCTGTTGATGGACATCTGGGCTGCTTCCAATTTTGGGCTATTAATATCTATTACTTTTATAACTCAAAAACAAAATGAAAAGAGGCCTGTAGGGCTCCTCCTTCCTGAGAGGCTAGCCATTAAGGAAGATGCGAGGAGGGCCAGGAGCTCTGTTAAGGACCTCATGTCACTATCTCACATCCTAGCACCCCTTCTCTGTAGTTGGCACCTTAAGCACACTCCTGAACCCTCTTTGAGACTTTCGGTCTAGC